ACATATGGTAAAAAAAGCTATTGGTAATAAATTATTTCACGATATGGCTAAAAAAATACCTAACTTTCCCTAACTACAAGCCAAACACAGAATTTAGTTATCGACGGGCATTTATTTGTGGCAGAGCCGTAACTCACATGCATGCCTACCGGCAGAAAGGAACCAAGTCTGGAGGACAGCGTAAAACAAACAAAAAGGAAGAAGGGGGCCTGGGCCAGCCACACCATGAGCCGTAGGACCCAGACTTCCCTCCTCTACCCAGAGGTCCAAACACAGCCTACTGGGAAGGAAACAAAGCCGCGAAAAACCTATGCTAATATCCTCCAGAGTTCACACAATAACTACAGCAAAAATATATATATATCGACATGAGGTGAGAGGAAAGCCACGGTCGTAATCCCTCGGTTTCAGGACGGGAAAAAGAGACCTCTTCTCCTTCAGCTTCTCCTCTTTAAGTCATCCCCAGCTGAATGTCATCAGGACACCTGGGGAAGGCGGAGCCAGGGGCGGACCAGGTGTACCTGCACAGCAGAGACAGAGAAAAACACACCCAGCACGTAACAAGGATGAATGTATTTTATAGTGCACTTAGATAATAATAGCCTTTGTAGTTGCTAAGAAAGGCATATTAAAAAAAGCCTTTTATTCACTCATACTGAACAATAGACTTATGTAAGCATGTCCAAACTTGCCACTACTTCTGGATTAGAACGCTTGCCAAAGTGTTCGTTCTAGTTTATCTTTTCTCTTTCTGGCAAAGTCCAGCAATTCAATTTATATAAAAATCTGTCTTTCATTTTAAATGAGCCATCACGTTGCCTCCGTCTGTTCATTTTTTCCTTTTTGATAAATGGTCAAGAACTAAAAGAAAACACTGTGTGATGACAACACTGCAGGCTAATGGTAACTCTCTACATCTGGAAGAAAGCTGTCACACAAGACCATTTGGATTTAAAACAAAAAGCCATTTAAAGGAAAGAACATTACAAATAAAATACGTATTACATTGCTCAGTCATTGATACAAGTGTTAAAAAGAAGCATGTTCTGCACAGAAACATGTGTAAGTTGTATGAAAATCATAGCAGAATATCAAGATGTTAGTGTTTTGCATGTATAAATAGTACAGTGCTGTATGTGTGTAGGTGACTGTGTGGGTGCTGGTTCTCGTGTTGCAGGTACAGGGGTGAGCGTGTTCTCTCTGCACCCGGGGGTGGTGCAGTCCGACCTGTGGAGGCACCAGCACCAGTGCATCCAGGTGGCAGTGAAGATCTTCAGGATTTTCACAAAAACAACCCTGGAGGGGGCGCAGACCACCATCTTCTGCGCTGTGGAGTCGGGCCTGGAGAGCCAGAGTGGAGGCTACTTCAGGTACTATTGGTTATACAAGAGCTTTCAGAGTGCCTCATGCGGCTTAGTATTACTTCCTGCTGACTAAATGGAAAGTAATCATGTAGGCAGCTGAGGGTCTACTTTTTTGTGTGTGTAATGTTCATTTTCTGCTCCTGACAGTGACTGCGCTCCGGCAAGGTGCTCTAGAGCGGCTTCTGATGATGAGACGGCCCAGAAACTGTGGGAGATAAGCTGCAACCTGCTTGGCATCACCTGGCAGTGAATAGGAGCATATCAACTGTGCCAGTGTGTGCTATATCATATTTTAAAGAACACTTTTACACACTTTCATAGAGATATTAATCTTACTGTTGTGAGGGGGGTTTTATTTTATGACTCAAAGTACAGAACAGTCCAAAAGTCGTTTAGTCACTTCCAAGAGTTCCTTTATTTGTAAAATATCTAAAAATGAAATGGACATTTTAGTCATTTTGTAATTATTCAACATTCCTCATAGGCATTCTTTGCAAAGTCACTTTTGAGTGTAGATGGCGTTTATTTGCTGTACAGCTTCTTTAAAAGACGTCCATGATCTTTCTTTGGATGGAAATGTCTTTACATTTGAAAGTGAGAAACAAAGTTCTGGTTGTTCTTAGGATCATTTTTGTGTGTTTGTTGTTGTTATACTAATTTCACCAAGAAGAGGTGTAGGTGGAAAACTACCCCATGTTCTAAATATGAATCAAAACACTCATGTTGGCTTCCTTCTTTAAAAAAAAATGTGTTTATTGAAAAGAAAAAGTGCATGGAGAATTAAGGCTTACCCATACACATTTTAAAAAAAGGATCCCGACAAAAATATGCAAATGCAAAAGCTTTTTAGTTTCTTAGAAAAAAGATTCTGGTAAAACCATAGACTTACAGAATCAAAAAACATGTTTCTTTCTCACTTGTTTCTATAGCGCACATATTGTGGTTAATCTTTAAAGCAATTTGTGACATTTAATAATAACTGGGTTCTGTTGTTTGTGAAGTATTATAATGTATATTTAGTAAAATACAATCCATTGATCTAAAATTGTTCATTTAACTGTTTCATTAAACAGCTGTGTATCACATTATCTGCTGTTTCAGATGCCTTCCTTTTAGCTGAGCGTGTGAAAATATGTTCAATTTAGAAAAAATATAAACAATTGACACTTAACTGGATTCAAAGTGTGCATTTTATGTAAAAGTTACCATGTGCTTGAGTTCGGAGTGAATGTATTAATGTTAACATTTTCCAAGCTTTTAGGTAAAACGTAACGTGACACTGGAGGAGAGAGTTCAGAGAGATTAGGTAAATTCACTGTATTAATAATGAGGAGGGAACGAAGGGTCTTAAAGTCTGAGCGATGTCACTCAAACAGATGACTACATTTCAATGTGACTCATTTCAAGGACAAATGAAAATGTGTTGGAATCCTGCAGTCGAAGGGTCACAAAGATACTGTTTCTGCAAATGTAGGACTCAATCAGTATATTGTGGATCAGCAGAAAATGAATTGTGTTTAGAAACAGTATCTTAATCCAAATCACATGACAGAGTAGTTAAGACTTAAGGAATGTGACATGAGCTAGTGGAGTTAATAGCAGGAGTCTATAGGACCAAGGCTTCCCCCTTTATGTACCTCCTATTATTGGCTTCTGTTACATTGGCCATGTGTATTTATGTTTGGAGTTATCATGCAACAACTGAACTTCCCTGCTAAGGATCAATAAAGGTGTATCTTAATATCCAGAGATACATATTATTCTGAAATGGGTTATTTTATGTAATGAACTTTTCCACTTCAGTACACTTGATGCTGATAATATTGTAAGTAACTAAAGGTAATAAATACATGTAGTAAAATTACAAAGTTGCATACAATCAAAATGTAAAATTATTCCAAGTCCCTAAAAATTGTACTTAGAAGAGTAGCTACTCGAGTAAATGTACCTAGTTACTTTCCACTGTACGACGGTAAGAAAAATATTTTAACCCATGCTGCTTTATTGTGTATGTAAACATCCCGGCCTGTAGGTGGCAGTATGGTCAGAAACTCAAACCCAAAATAACCGACAGTGATGACGAGGGAAGATACTGCGCATGCGCGCATGCGCGCATTTAAATGCTACGTCAGCCCTTCTCTAATCTCAAACTTCCCAGAAGCTACGTGTCCTCAGCGCCGTATGTCCTCATTCCTCCGACTGTCTTCTCTTCTAACACGACCTCACAGATCGGTAAACTGAGCGATATTCTATCAACTATGACTATATCTCTTACTTAAAGTTAACGCATTAGCTGGTTTGGTATTTATTTCGACTTGTATTCGTTTTTGTATTCTATTTTCAGCTAAACTAGCGTAACGTCGACAGGTTAGCTTTTTTTACGTTAACGTTAGCTAGCATGTTAGCTAACACAGCTGACTGTTAGTTTACACAGCTGACTTCAAAATATGTTTTTTAACGACAAGAACACACCATTGTCAACATAGTGGTTGATATTTGATGCTTAAAAAGACATTTGCAGTATTGTGTTTTACAGTAGGCCCGTTGTGGGAGTCATGATAGACGCAGGCTTCTGAAGTCAACGTCATCACTCAGAGCAGCAGTCCGAGATTTGACCCTAAATCAGGTTTTATTCTGTCTGCAGCTTGAACATCATGGATCAGGTTATGCAGTTTGTGGAGCCCAGCCGGCAGTTCGTCAAAGACTCCATAAGGCTCGTAAAGAGATGCACGAAACCCGATAGAAAAGGTAAGATCATATTTAAATCCATTTGGCCCAGTCTCTGTTGTGTTGGCATCTCTGTCGAAACGTTATTAATTGAGCTTCAGTTGATCCACATCATCCTTAGCTGAAAACATTTTAACATACTTGACTCTCACTTTTCTACATACTATACTATGATTTCTGACTTGTAATATGCCTTTTCCCCGACATAATATGGAATCGTTTTGTAACATGCAATACTACACTATAACTTCGTTTCCTACGATTGTTCTGATTTAATCAACACACCATAGCTTTTTCTCACATACTTGTACTATGTGATCAGAACAGACTTTTTTCCCACTAACAATACTATTACTTCTTCTACATAGTATACGACTTTTTTTTAACTTTTATACTATACGTTGAAATATTATGTATACACTATAACCTTTTTCACTACGGTTTGTCAGATCTAATCTACATACTATGCTTTTTGCCATACTTTTAATATGATTACTGTATGTTTTTCCTTTCATTGTATTATTTTAACCCATAACAACCCGGCCTCATTTCTACTTTTGGGGAAATTATTGGGTACATCATCTAGACTTAATGGACCATATAGAACACATTTCAGACAAGTAACCTCCCCTATTGTCAGAGATCTGAAAAGTGACATATATGTCACACACACTCTTACCTTTTAGCGACAAAAAAACAAGCTTTCGAAATATAGCTAGTTCTGTCATATGGACATGTTGTTATGGGAACACAAAGTCACATGACCCACCACACTTAGGGACTTCATGAGATAAAATAAAGGCTAAAGCTGTATAATAACTTTCCAGAACATTTAACTGTCATGTAACATTTGTGTCACCGTGGGTTCTTGTGGGTTACGTTTGATTTGATTTCCATTATTATTAAAAGCCCTTTGTCTTACGTCGTTGAATTGTGCTTCCTTCAGAATTCCAGAAGATTGCCATGGCCACAGCGATTGGGTTCGCAATCATGGGCTTCATTGGTTTCTTCGTCAAACTCATCCACATCCCCATCAACAACATCATTGTGTAAGTAACAGTAACACTTTACTTATATGGACGGTAATCTTTTCATACTATTGGGTATTTTGACTGATGTTCCAACAGAAATGCATTTGCCTTGATGAAAGATTGTGGTTCGCCACTTTGTTCAGGGAAGCTTTTGCCAAACACTTGATCCCTGTGATGATATCAGTGGTGGCCCTTTAGAGGGAGAGACTTTGTAATGACACTACCTCCTCAGTGTTTGATTACGTGCTTTATTGTCTCTGTATCTACTCACTGAAAATATGTTTAAATCACAGTCAAATTAGCGTTGGAAGAATTAACTAAAAGGCTTTTAAATGTTTGTCCAGCCCTCATATAGTAAAGCAAGTTTATTTGATGTCCTATCTTTTACAATTATGAACTGGTTTTAGACTAGAGTCAAGAATCAAAAAGCAAGGGAGTCTTGATGAATAAGGGTTGATGTGGGTAGGTTTCTTCATAGAGGTCAAGGACAAATGGTTAGGAAAAGACATGGGGTGCTATATTTAATTGTACCCCATGTCTCATTTGCTAAAACCTAACTATTTTATTAACAATCTCAGTTTGCTGCTGACTCTATGACTTAGACTTATAGTATACTCCAAGTGGTATGATGCAAGATCTGCTGTTGTCAAACCAACTACTTTAATTCATCAAGACTTTTCAAGAGTTTTTTATTTTCTATATTCACCATGGTGGCATGAAAGAAGAATACTGTTTTTTTCACAGTAACACTATGTAAATATCACTTGTATACCAGAGCTGGAAATTCTCACATTATTTCAAACCACTGTTCAAGTGCTTACTCATTAGTACGATCAACATTGATATGTATTTTTTAAGTTATGATTGGAATTATCTTTTTGAACAAACACTTTGTTTTATTGCCTAATTGACAGAAACCAACACAAAAGACAAGGGAAAAACAGTCACACTTGTGATTTTATTTTGTACAGTATGTTAAAACATCAAAATAGCATTAATTAAGGCTTGTAAAAGTCTCAATATACATTATCATACGAGAAGTATGATTGTCTGTTTTTGAAAGGAAATTGTTAGTGCAGCGATGAATCAAGGTGGGTCTACTAATGCACACAAGACTTGCATTTAAGGGATTGTCTTTCTCAGAGCAGTTTTTATTTATTCATTGCTCTTTCAAACTGAATATTACAGTGACATGTTTCTGTTCGTGTACCTATAAGTTTCTCTCATCACTAACACTGCCGTTCTCTTGTTTCCCCTCTAGTGGAGGTTAAATCCTGGACAAGAACAAACTTCAAACTCCTGGGGACAGAAGATGGCGATGCAATGCAAGGTGTTAGTGTGCTGGTGTGATCGGGGACTGAAGGGATGACATTTTTACATTCGGTGCACGACATTTATATTTCAATGTGTAAATAAAAAATATGGAAACCACAACTGAATGCTTTCCTCCAGCCTTTTTTCAATAGCCTTGATATCACTACAGTATGGTTTGATCATTGCCTGACATTCAGAAATACAAGGCACACATAGTTTGAAGTTCAGTATTTTTCATATACAAGTGGGAACAGTGGCACTTATTTAAAAAGGCACATTCTTTAGGCTTTTGAATTTCAGCTTGCACAGTGAAAATCATAGCCACGTGTTGCATAAAACCAGTTAAAATAAAAATATGAAATATCCTTGGCAGAGATGGCATTAAAAAAAATCTTTCTTTGCTTGGTTTGGAATGTTCTTATAAACCAAGAAAGCTAACCAGATATTGATCAATCAACAGGTTTTTGGCCACATAGTAGCGTTTCAACTTTTTCCTTCATTCTTTGTAAGACTAATGAGAGTTAGGATATTTCCTGTCTGTCATTCCTCCTCCTTACAGATACCCATACTCCAGAGCAGAGGCTGGTCTGTTGTCATGGTTACAAGCTTCCTGGGGTTTCCAGGGGCAACAGGTTCGTAGGTGTTGGAGGTGCTCACCAACTTCCCAAACTGCAGAACCTGGTCATCTAGAGAGAGGAGACACATGATTGGATTCTGCATTAATGAGGGTGTTAGTGGCTGCTTCGAATAGTCTGGGTAAATGATTGAGTGGGTAGAATTTAGATATTTGGTTTCCGGTGTCACTAGTTAACTTTGTAATGCACACCGCCGGTTATTTGAACATGAATTAAGATTCTTTATATCAAGATCATGATATTGATTTATGTCTGGTATTCAGAGGCCAGGAGTTCCCAGCCAAATAACTCCAATTTAAAAAAACAACATAACACATGTCAGTATGTCAAACTAGGGCATCATGATATCGTATGAAGATAAGGGTCCTCCCTCCCTTAAATGACCGAAAAGTAGTAGTATACCATGTCAAAGAAAAAACATGGTGTTTTTTGTCAAAATAAGGCGCAGTATAGCGTTTAGAAACCAGGCATAGTATATATGTCCTTAAAAATTACAAAAACGACATAATATACTATGTCGAAAAAAGTAAAACAAACGACATAAGGAATGATATCGTAAAAAGGGGATGAAAAAATCTGATGAAATTGCATAGTAACATATATAGTATATGTTGAAAATGTCAAAACAAATTCAACATACTTTCCGACTAATCATATTCTCGACATACTATACTACGGTGTTTCTTCCAGATATTTTCGACATAATCACATTTTGAGATACTATACTATGCCTTTTATTATTAAACATTTAAATTACTATATTATGTAGATTTTCTCTGATATTCACCCTTTAGAATTGATCTATGTAGCCCAGGATATTTGCCACTTTAAAATATTATTATTTAAAGGTTAAATCATGTAAGTAGTTGGTGAGACATATGCTTCAATTATATAATGCTATTTCTTTGTCCTCTATTGGAGCTGAAATCATATTTAGCCAACACTGACATCAAGTGGTCTGACCAGGAAGTGCAGTAGAATATCTAACGAGGGGCATTAACTTTACCCATGAGTGTTCAACATTTATCACCAGACCCCTAAATAAGTAATCATTCTTCACTTATTGCATTGTAATGTTAGACGGGTAAAAATAAACATAACGTTACAAATAAACACCTTAAATGCTTATATCTAATATATTATATGGAAGTTTGTTTTGAGGAATTTAGTCAATATACAAGGAAAGTAACAAAACCATTGGGTGTGCTTCAACAGCTCTAAATGGCAGGGCTGTGCGTGTCACTTTTCCCATTAACAGTTAAGTTTATTTATGCATCGTTGACTGGGAATAAGCTTGTTGTACCCTGAGAGTGGAGCTGTTGGATCGTGTCTAATGTAAAAGGGCGAACTCGCCTCAGGAGACTTACACCTGGGGCTCTCTATTATTCATTCGCTATTATCTGTCACTGTGTTCTCGCAATCTACAGCAAATGAAACAGTAAAACATTTCTCCCCTACAGGTCAGGACATGTGGCTTTTATTGAGTTCACAAGTGGTTTGTCATACTTCACAGAGAAGACTGCTTTACTTTGATCTCTCTTTGGAAAGTGTTCACCTGTTTATGTCTCAGCAGCGCCGTCATAAACAGAGACGCACAGCACTCTCAACTCTGACTGCTATGAACAGTGAATATAGTTTTTAGCCATCTTATCTTATTATCTGGTTTGCTTGTAGTCAGTGAAGAGTAGGGATGGGAACGATTAATAGAAGATTTCAATTTATTCAGGTATGAGAATATGAGTTCTGAATATTTTTTTGGGAGGGGTGCCTGAGTTGATTACATATGATCAAATGGAATAATTCAATGTATACGACAGTGCCATAGCTAAGTGAGGTCTAAAGGTGTGTGTTGCTCCGCTCACCGGTCCCTCACAGCGGGCAGAGCTGCAGGTGCTGATCTCTCTCTCTCGTCCGGTTATACTTCACTCGCGTTTGTGTCCAAATCCATCAGATCTAGCTAGTTCTAGCTAATGATATGGCTGCTGCCCCTCCCTACATGCAGATCACGCAGACTCAAACCTCATCTTATGCCTAAATCCCAGCTGAGAGGGTCTTCTCTACAGCTGGCCTGATCTCGCCTCAGCCCCCGTCTCTCCCCTGAGTAGACATGCTCATATTCTTAAAGAAGAATGAGTATTGAATAGCTGCATTCTGTGATAGGCCCTGTTATAGGTTGATCTCTGTTGTGATAGGGTTACGTTACCCTAACCCGTTATGTTGTTCCTGTATGATCCCTCTTTCATTTAACAAGTTATGTTTTAAGCATGAACGCTGTAGGCCTATAGCTGTCAACTGTTCAAACTGTGGACACCAGTTCAATACATTTGACAAATTCGACTTGGTTTCTATGTAGTTATTTTTTTGTCAACATTTTTTTTATAGGATATGTACATTTTGGTTAATCGGTTAACCGTTTTTTTGAGGGGCGAATATTCATTTGCTTTCAAATCCCCATCCCTAGGGAAGAGTGTCTGAAAGTGAGGGGGATTAGCTCTGCTCTAACTAGGCGGGCCACATGGACTTCTCTTCATGTCAATCATCCCATTTATTCAATTAATTACTCTCTTTTCCTTTCACTCCAATCTACTCTTCTGAATATATATTTCCCAGATGGAGGGCTTTAAAAGGCACTAATTTGTAACCACTCACACTTTCATAGATAACAGAGAATACATTATCTTCCAAGACTGCACTCTTTTTGTGTAGTTAAGGGTTCATATATATTATTAAGAAAAGTAATGAAATACAGATGGACATAATAACGAGATCATTAAAACCTATTAACTGATTTCACCAGAGGTCACTATACAAACTAGTTGTGAAAGAATGCAGTTCAGTCCTACACTTAGATCTTTTATAATATGAGTATGAAGTGTACATAAAGTAGAGTTAGTTTTAATAAAATGTTCCTCATCCATTAAAGGAATTGCTTTAACAAAAGTGTGAATCATTAAACTGCAAATCGGGAGTATTTAAGGAACCATGTTCCTCCGAACATTGGGAATCAAGACAACTGTGGAGCATCATTAGTATAACAATATCTTTAAATTAGTCCAAGTTCCTCTTCAATCTGCATATTTAGATAAAATGCCATTTATTTCTGGGTAGATTTTCTATATTAGATTAATTTCCAAGAAGTACAAATTATATTCCCTTTTGAACATTACAATAGGAGCATGTTAGTTGTTAGACGCTTTTATCCAAAGTGACTTACATACTCAATACTGTGGGCAATCCCCACAGGAGCAATTTGGGGTGAAGTATCTCAGGGACACAACGACATGCTGACTGCAGTGGGGTTTGAACCTGTGCTCCCCTGATCCCAACACCACTAACGCACTAACCACTGCGCCACAGCCCCCCCAACAATACAGAGACTAATTAACGATACACACGCAACGCCTCAAACATCATAATGTACAGTCCTCTTTAACCCAAATCAACACCTGACAATGCATTGTTGCAACATCCTCAGAAGGGACAAAAGTAAGGAGTTTATGATTGTACAAAAATAGTTGTGCAATCACTTCACAAAGAGAGCAGAGAATGAAGCAAATTATTTGTCCACAGGCGCTACACGCACATCAAACAGCGACACAGAAAAAAGCTTTTTTGCTTCAAAGGCCGCCTCATAAGCATTGCATTAGACCAGCTTGACTTGAAACAAAGAGGAGAGAAAGCTGAATGTGAGGTTACTTAATAATTGAGTGAACCCAGAGTCACAGTGTGTATGAGAATAAGGTCTGACTGTGTTAAAGTGCCTGCCTGAGGTTCTCACTCAGCAGGGGAATGTGCTGTAAAGTTTGGAAAGATGAACAGTATGTGATCAAAAGGTTTCTTAATATGAGCCAAATGCTACAAGAAGCATTTCATTTTATGTTACTTAACAATCTACGTTTCCGTTTGGTTTCTGTACTCTTCTCATTGGTGTGGAGTGTCTGGCATGGCTCCCAATAATTTAGTCCTGATGATAATGATATTAAACTATGATTGAAAAAATTATAGCTTCTTCAAAGACACCAATTGTCACAGATATTATGTTACTCAGCAGGCGGCCATTGCTGCATTGCTTCCCAATCAGTGCGTACGCTCACTGTGATCGTAATACAATCTGAGAGAAGATGTGTGATGTAACTCACCAAACTACCACCAGGGGCAGCAGAGCACCACAGCAGGAAACATTAGGAGTCAACAGGGTGGCATAGTGACGCCTACATTGACAAAAACACATTATCTCTTCTGTCTCTCAAACACACATCCATTTACTAACATGTCCACACACATACTGACACTAACACACATATATGCACATGCAAACTCTTCAACGTACAAAAGGCTTTTAGATGGCTTCATTAGTAATCCCCTCCTCAAAGCTGATGCCGATCAATAGCGGCCCGTTACAGAGGGGAGCGAAATGAGCGTCGCACCCTCCAGTGATAACAATGGAGATGTTTGCTGCCTGTAATTGCATTTCCAGCGCCACAG